CCCCGCCCCTAACGTCCATTTTTTTTTCCACCTCAAGCTTAGAGCGTGTTGATTCTGGGGTGGGTAAAAGCCGTTTAAAAGCAGCTTTCTTGTTGGAGAAGGGACCGTTTGGGTACGTTTTGAGTGTCCTGTTTGTGCGTTTCTCGGTTTTTTCGTTCTCTAGGTTTTACAATAGCGGCGGAGACGGTGGCGGCGTCGGGCGCCGCGACCGCGGACCCCGCCCCTAACGTCCATTTTTTTTTCCACCTCAAGCTTAGAGCGTGTTGATTCTGGGGTGGGTAAAAGCCGTTTAAAAGCAGCTTTCTTGTTGGAGAAGGGACCGTTTGGGTACGTTTTGAGTGTCCTGTTTGTGCGTTTCTCGGTTTTTTCCTTCTCTAGGTTTGACAATGTCGGCGGAGACGGTGGTGGCAGCTTGCGCGGCAACAGCTGACCCCGCCCCGAGCGTCCATTTTTTTCCCCCCCTCTATCTTAGAGCGTGTTGATTCTGGGGTGGGTAAAAGCCGTTTAAAAGCAGCTTTCTTGTCGAAGAAGAGACTGTTTGGGTCTGTTTTTCGGTTTCTTCGTTCTGTAGGTTTGACAATGGCGACGGAGACGGTGGCTGGTGGAACCGCTCGTGGCTATGGTTCACCCAACCCCTAATGTCTGTTTTTGTTTTTGTTTTTGCTCAAGCTTAGAGCGTGTTGATTCTGGGATGGGTAAAAGCCAGTTAAAAGTAGCTTTGTTGTAGGAGAAGGGACTGTTTGGGTCCGTTTTGAGTGTGCTGTTTGTCCATTTCTCGGTTGTTTTCCTCCTCGAGGTTCGGGAATGGCAGTGGAGGTGGTGGCGGCAACACGCACGGCTATGGCCGACCCGGTCCCAATGTCTGCCCCCCCAATCTTAGAGTGTGTTAATTGTGGGGTGGGTAAAAGCTGGTTAAAAGCAGCTTTCTTGTACAAGAAGGGACCGTTTGAATATGTTTGGAGTGTCCTTTTTGTCCATTTCTCGTTTTTTTTGTGTGTCCTCGAGTTTCGAGAATGGCGGCACAGGCAGTGGCAGCAGCGAGCAGCTATGGTTGACCCAATCCCTAATGTCTGTTTTTTTGTTTGTTTGTTTTTTCCTCAAGCTTAGAGCGTGTTGATTTTGGAGTGAGTAAAAGCCGGTTAAAAGCAGCTTTCTTGTAATAGAAGGGACCGTTTGGATATGTTTTGAGTGTCTCTTTTGTCTGTTTTTTGGTTTTATCATTCTCGAGGTTCAAGAATGGCAGCGGTGCCAGCGGCCTTGTGGCTTCGGCTGACCCCACACACCAAGGTCTTTTTTTTGCTTGTTTGTTTGTTTCCTCTCAATATTAGAGCACGTTGATTCTGGAGTGGGAAAAGCCGGTTAAATGTTGTGTTGCTGTAAGGAAATGGACTGTCTTGTCATGTTTTGAGTGTCCTTATCTGTTCCTAGATTTTTTCCTCACGGTTGAAGAGTGGATGGTCTGGTGTAATATTGAGGCACCATTTTGTGTTTGAGTGCTTCTTTCCTCTTAAGAGCTTTGTTGGTGTGCTTCTATGGGATGACTTATAACTGAAAAATATTGGTGAGATTTCTAAACTTTGTGATTCAATGCTTCCACTGTTGGTTTCCTATCTTAAGAGCCCGTGCTTTTAAAATAAATATAAAAATGTGGCGTTTAAATATGTCAGTTTAACTATTATGCAATAACATTTAAGATGAAAGACGCCCATGTTGTTGCTGGTCTGTAAGCCCCACACTTGAGAGGTTGAGGCAGGAGTGTTGACGAGTTGGAGGACTTTTTGCGCACATAGTTTTAGGTCAGCGTGCAGAAAATAGTGAGACCTTAAAAAAGTTTAATATAGGATAAAATTTATGACAGTTTTAATTTGACACAGTTTGTAATTCTGTTTGCTGTTGTGATGTCACTTTAACATGTATTTTACATTTTTGACAATAGTGTTAAGCTAAATGGAGAAATTTTGTGTGTAACAGAATTTGGAGTAATTTTATGGTAAATGAAAATAAATGTAGGCAAATTAAAAATAGGGTATAAATTTTTTTGATTTGCTTAAATTTTTTATTACTTTAAGTTATTTTTAGTGTAAACCACATCTTGGAGCCCAGCTAGGCAGTGCAGTCCCTTATTGGAATCCTATCTCAAAAAGAATGAGGGCAGAGGATTTATATAGCTCAGTGGTTTTGTGGCCTGCCTCACAAGTGCAAAGACCAGACTTTGATCTCTGGTACCAAAAAAAACAAAGGATGGGGAGGCTAAGCGTGTATCTTATTGTGAAGAGCCTTCGATAATTTCCAGTTTCACCAAGAAATAGTGTATTTTCATGTTTCTGGAAAAATACAAGTTTCTTGAAAGTTTTCATGATGAAAATAGTGAAAAGAGATATTGGCTAATAGATAGTGGATATATTTTAATTATTTCATTATTAATATATCACATATGTATTTCTACATATAATACTCTTCCCTATAAATGTACACTTTTTAATTTTAAAAGAATTTATTTAAAAGGCCAGGGATTTAGTTCAGTGCTACATCCTCACTTGCTTTAGCTCACTTGCCTTGCAAAACAAAGTCTTGAGTTTGAGTTCCTGTGGCCTTCAAAGTAATTTATTTGAAAGAATTCTACTTTAGTTTTACATAGAATTTAAATCACATTATTAAAAAAATTGAATATTTTAGGTCAAACATGTTATGTTTTATTTCTTTAAAAATAACACGATATTAGTCTGTGTAAGGTAATTCATGAGTTGTAAACGTATTATAATGAAAGTTGATCCTTTGAACCCTTACAGCAAAAGGATGGATGCTGGATGTCCTGATAAATTGTTTGTAGGAGGCCTCAACCAAGAAACCAATGAAAAGAATCTGAAAGCAGCTTTTGGATCATTTGGACCCATAATAGATGGTAACTCTTAAAACCGTTCTATGTGTGTATGTGTTTACTTTAAATAAGAAGTATAATTTTTGGAACAGCTAAAACGTAATGTTTATCATGAAACATGCATCTTTTTTCTTTTCTCTTCTTTGATGCTAAGGATTGTACTCAGTACCTTGTGTTTGCAAGATTGATGGCACCACTGAGCTAAATTCCAGGCCCTTTCACTTTTCTTATTAGGAATGTGGTCATTTATTACAGTATGTGAGAAGTTTCTGTAAGCTTCTACTATGGAAAATTAAAGCAAGTAATAAATTATTGTTGGCTAGGATACAAAGTATAATAAAGTAGAATGATGATATTTATCTGTGGTTGCTATTTAGTGTATTATGATTAAATAAGGTTTGGGGGGGTTTATTTTAAAGAAATTGATCTTGTTTCTTTCCCATCAAATCAAATTAAGTATCCATATGAGAAATTGTAAAAGCAATGATTATTTTGAAAATAGCAAAAGTTGAATGTTTGGTAATATATGCTGTAAATTAAAAACGCTTTATATATGTATATATTATAGTTGTTTTGATAAAGAATTTGGAAACCAAGCAGTCCAGAGGCTTTGCTTTTGTTACCTTTGAAAGATCTGCCGATGCTAAAACTGCTCTCAAAGACATGAATGGGAAGGTAACCATGTTTTAATAATATCCTAGTCATATTCAGCAAAAAATAGTATTTTTAGAATTTTTCTGATATAATTAAGGATCTGTAATGTTGCATTCACTGAAATTCTTTAGCCATTGTTCTCCATGTTGTCGCATAATTGTTCAAAAGCATGATTGATATGAACACCACATTAAGTAACATACATTAAGTCTAATTTATGTTGTGAACATTTTATTGTAGCTCTTAGTCTTGAAGGCAATTGAAATCTAGAAAGCCCCAAATAATAGAATTAAGTGTTAATAGTAGTAATTTTGACATTAAAAATAGGCAAATACTTGTAGAAAAATATAATTCATGGGAGCAGTTTTTATGGGATAACAGCATTACAAGACTCTTTAGAGGTAGGAAATATTAATTCTCATTCTTCTGGAGAAAAGACACCAGAAAAAGTTGTATTTGATCATGATTCAAATAAATACTCAGATCATTATTTCTAATATACTTGATTTTTTTTTTTAGTCTTTGAATGGAAAAACAATTAAAGTGGAACAAGCCAACAAAAGGTCTTTTAAAAGTGGTAATAAGCGAAGACAACCACCTCTTTTGAAAAACAGAGGTTCTCTGAGAAATACGAGATGCGCAAGAAGAGAAAATCGAGCAAAAGGGCATTCTTCACGTAGAGGAAACTTGGGTAATGTATTAAAATATAAGAAAGAAACCATGGGATGGAAATTAATGAATTTGAACAGAGTTATCTCAGTTTTTCTTTAGTTACTTTAAGACCAAAAAAAAAACTAGTCAAGATTTCCAAAGTGCCATTGAATTCTTACAATGATTGACACATCTGAATTATTTAAAAGAATTTAATGATCTTGCTACGAAATGTTGTAAATTTCAAACATTACTGACTGACTCTACTTAACAATTATAACATTATTTGCATTCACAGAATAATAGTCAAGTACTCACTTATGAGGGATATTGGAGATTGAATTTAAGACATAACTAAGATACACTCTCAGCTGTTTTTAATTTTTATTTTTGAGATAGGGTCTTGCTCAATTGCTGAGTTGCCAAGGCTAGACTGAAACATAACCTGTCAGAGTGCTGGGATTACAGATGGGTGGCTCTTCTACAGTTTAAAACAATTTTTCTTTCTAAAAGATGTATGTTACTGCTAATAGTAGCTGCTTTGTATATATATATAT